GCGATGTCGTCGACGTAAATACTTCGCTGCCGGCAAAAGTGATCGAGTAGGTAGTGCAATGACGCTGCTACCTCAGCGATTCGAGGCGCCCTGTCCTCAAATCTTTTCGTAAGACGAAAGACTGGCTCAAGTACGTCAACGGCGATGCCGAGGAAATCCCAGTCGTCGTCTCGGAAGAGGTATTCCTCAGGGAGGCGCTTCTTTGGGTCCCTCTCGTTGACCATCCTCCTCTGGAAAATCTCAATCGGATCTCTCAGTTGCAACGCCCTCTTCGCGGACTCGAAAAACGAATTCCATCTGGTATCGTTCTTCTGCTTCACCATCAAGCCGCCAAGCTCACGAGTATCCCACAAGACTTGGCCAAATTCGAGGAGCTCTTCTTCCGTAAGCTCACCGCGCGTAAGCTGCAGAAACTGCTCCCTTCGCTGGGCGCCTCGTCTGATCCACCCCATCAGGTTGTGAAGCCTCTGAATAGGCCCTGATTGGCGCCAGTTTTCGAGGAAATCGTTCTCCTCTTCAAGTGACTTGCGCTCCTCCGACAGAGGAGGAAGCTTCTTGATCGCTTCCTTAAACGTGCCGTCGAGGAAGCCGGTCGCGCTGAGGTTCAGCTCGTGATTAACCCAGCGCATTCGACGTCGGCGCGCGAGGTCAGGAACAAAGTCGTCATGAGGGAGAAGGGCCTGAAATAGCTCTCTCACTGCTGAATCACCCGAATCGGCGTTATCGGCGGTTAAGTAACCGACAGCCTCGGAAAGAGCGAAATCCTCAATTATGCCCCGCAGGACTGGACCGAGATTCTCGCCCCCGTGGCTTCCCAAAATGCGTTTCAACGCTAGGAGGCGAAATTGAAGCTGTTGTGAGTGGTCGACGAAGTGGACGGTAATACCGAGGAGAGCGTACTGATTTGGAGAGGTCCAGAGATCGAATGTCAGATGCTTCTTGTATGGAGACATCGCAAGCTCATTTTTCAGCAGCTCTTTCTCAGCCTCAAACTCAGCCTTCATCCACGCCCTGACGGTATCGCCGCTGTATGGCAGGAGCTCCTGTAGAAGATCCTTATTGAGAAGGCAAAGGAGCTGGCGGAAAAGAGGGTGTTCGATTCCAGAGAGCGGGATATTTGCGCCGGCTAGCCAGCCGAGTAACGTATGCCTGAAAAGCTGACCTGTTGTTTTGGTCACGAGCGCCTTCCTTAAACTCTCTTGCAGAGTCTTCTGACGGCGAGAACTAGGCTCCGAATCGTCGGCCCCATTGCCTCCGTCAGAGCTCTCGATGCCGATCAGCAAACGGTGGTCCTTCTGAAGGTGCGATTTGGCATTCGTTGTAGCGCCGTTGGTGGTGGCATACAGCGAGGTCTTGCCCTGTTGCACACAGAGGTTGCACAGCCAGTACTCTCCAAGGCTCCTATTCTCCTTGTCGAGCTTGACGTATCTTTCGCCATACTCATCCACCTTTGACTGCCTCTTTCGCTTCTTGTGTAACCACTCTGTCTTGATATATGGCTTCCCGTGTATCCAAATCTTAGGTAACTGACTGACTTCGGCGGGCAGGTTGGCTTCGTCGATAACCTCGAGTTGGTCCTTTACACTTCGAGCTCGCCGCACTGTGGAAATCGCGTCGCCGCCGACGTGTGGTAAGTTCGTAAACGAGCCAGAAGACTGGCTAACCGACTGACTAGCCGATTGGCTAGGCGTCAGGCTCATTTCCGACGACGAATCGTCGGAAAAGCGGTCGTCAAGCTCAGCCATATTGGTGATGGTGGTAGGCCCATGCAAAAGTTCGGCTGGAAAGTCCCGAGTTATTGGCCAGGGGTTACATAAACTCTATACCTAATATGGACAAGTGGATTACCCTTACTAATACTCAAACGTAGTCAAATCAAATCAAATCTGCCCGCCAGTAGATTTGATTTGAAAATACCTTGATTTGATTTGATTCGATTCGATTTGAATTTGATTTGAATAGTTTGATTTGTTAGGAACGCTGGGTCCTTGTATGCCGTCGATGATGACATGTGCGTAAAAGCCCGATGTGCTACGGACCGAGGACAGCCAAGCGTGCGAATGAAACAACTCGCGCGGTTTGTCGACGAACAAGCTTGGGCCTGTATGTATCCTGCCTAGGATATCGGATGCGATGATGTTCTTAAACACGGTGACAGGGTCGAAAAACGTTAGCCGCATCGTCACCCTCGGAAGGCCCTTGAGGCTTATATCGCCGTGCTTTTGTCGGAGGCTGTCCAACTGGCTCTTAGCCTGCTCTGCTGCTGCTACCGCGTTTCGTGCTTCGGTGCTGTGCTTACCTTTAATGCGGGAGATCCTGGTCGCTGCTCTGGTAGCAGTGAGGGCTGCACTTCTTCTTTCTGCCTGAGCCCGTGCAATTTCAACCTTGCGACGCTCCTCGAGCTTCAAACTGGCTGGCATTGTAACGGGCTGGGCCCGGTGCGAGCCTCGGCGACTCTCGGCAAATACCAAGACCCCTGATGAGGCTATTCCCACTCGCCCCACAGCACACCGAACCTTCTAGCAAC